AAAATGTGCATACACTCTCCTCTCTTCTCTCTCACACACACAAACTCGGGCCGATGCATGCTAAGCATCAGAACCTCCATGGATGCATCAACGTTTTCTCTAAAATGCAGCAGTTAATAGAAGTAATTGGTGGTTCGCATCAAAATCTTGTTGTAGTTTCACCATGTCTAGGTCTGCTGTTTCAGAAATGAGAGTGCTTACTTTGGCAAACAAGGCTTGTTTGGTTGCACAGTGCAGAAGAACTCTCTTGGTGTTTTGAAGTATGAACCTAAAGAGAGGTCAGATGTGTCAAAATGCACCAAATTCCTGAACTCCTCCAATAACCTTCTTCTACTGAGTCCCAGAAAGCCTCACTACTGGGATTTACCCACAAATGAGGGTCCAAAATATCCTTATGGCCATTTACTAACCAAATGTGATAGAGCTTCTTCATCTTTCCTTCAATTTTTGCTCTTTTGCAAATCAGTAATGGAATTTCATGATGTCAGCTTTTGGATAGAGTACAGCGTTGCCTGGGAATATTTTTGACTTCCTATCTCCGATTTTTGTGGTACATCCTTTCAAAGGAGATGCAAATGCTCTTTGGATGGCCTTCAACCGTTCCTTCTTTTGGTCTCTTTGGCATGAAAGGAATGAGCGGTACTTCAACGACAGTTGTAGGTCTTTTGAGGGGTTATTTGATTTAGTTCTTTCAAAACTTTATTTTGGTGTAAAAGTTCACACCCCTTTAGAGATTAGTCTTACTGCCTTATTAAACATATGGATTTCTTTCTTCTTACTCACTTTTGCGGGCTATTCATTTCATTTATCAAGGAAATCTCTCTGTTTCTCTTCCAAAAAAAAAAAAAAAGAAAAAAACTTCACTTCGGTGTATTCAATACTGGCAATTAATTTTTGAACATGCATTTTCAAACTACGAGACTGTTTCAATCAGGTAGAGAATTTTCAAACAGACATGGTTTTTTTCCTTTGTTGTTGATGCTATCATATCCTTTCAATGTATGTCGATACATTTTTGTACACTATGGAAGTGGAACTGTAGATGAAAGAGAAATAAATCATTATTATGAAAATATTTATCATGAACTCGTTTCCTTTTTTCACTTTGTCCATTTAGGTACCTCTCTTGTTAAGCATAGGAGAAGAAGACACTGCATTAATCAAAGCAACTGAAAGTGGTGATACTGATCTTGTTTATCTTGTTCTCTTCCATATCTGGCAAAAGGTAATTTTTCAATAATATCTAATATGTGTATTATTTCTTATCTCTCGTCTGCATATTTTATGAGTCTAAGATATGCATAAATAAGATCTAAGTGGTATTTACAACTTTTAAATAGCATGCATGTTCTTAACGAAAGCTTGTTTTTTCCATAGAAAGAAAAGTTTTGAATAGAATGCATAATTGGCTTTTATGCAGAAGCAACCACTGGAATTCTTTGGAATGATACAAGCCAGAATTCAGGCACGGGATTTATTTGTTACTTATGCCCGGTATGTATGAACATTTCTATTCCTCCAGTAATAGATTTGATGCCAAAAGCTTAATACTTTATTTTAAGATTGCAGATTCTTCAATTATTACTTTGAGATTAATTTTGCCTCTATTTAATCTATATGAGTGAGATTTTCTTTGTTTTTATTCAGTCTTTTAATTTGAGGATTTCTCGTCCTCCACTATATTTGTCTATATTTTCATTTGATGTAAACTGTCTTCCATTAAAATCCATGAGATAAAATAAGATGTCGATGGAACCAACTCTTGTAAATTGTTGACGAATTAAAAGCTTATGTAGGCTGCAATGGACATATCATTTTTCTTCTTTGTATGCTTACGCTAATGTGTTGGAGAACTGTTTGGTTTCCATTTATCGTAATTCTCTGGGGTTACATAAAAAATTTGTCAGTTTCCACTGTATCGGAAGGAAAATAAGCTGAATATAATATTTTCAGACTGCTCGCAAAGCTCGTAGTTGAGGATAATAAAAAATAGCACGGATGCAGATGTTCATTATGACATTACAAATATTATACTCTTGATCTACCAAACTTCTAGTGTTTATTTAGTGGTTTGCTGGTTCTTAATTGTATGGCTTAATGGAAGCATAGACTCATGACATCGTCTCATGTTTGGTTCTTGAGCTCATCTCTTGTTTTAAAATGCACTTGTACTTAGACATGACCTTTTTATTTGCTTGACTGATTATGTTATCTCCTTCAGGTGCTATAAGCATGAATTTCTGAAGGACTTTTTCCTATCAACTGGACAACTTCATGTACGTCTTATGTTCAATATTGGTTGCATCTTTATTTTTTTCAATTTATATGTTGAAACACATCTCACTGAGTTCATTCTTTTTTTTTATACGGATTAGAGAAACGGTAGGTCTGTTATGTGGAGTATATCTTTTATTTGGAATGATAAGTTTCTTAGTCTCTAGGAGGAAAAGAAAGTGCGCCAAAATGGTCTTTTTGGATCTGATCGGCCATGTTGATACCCCCATGAGTCTGAGACTGAGGACCAAATAGAAAACCTTAATCTTTGAATATTGGCGCTTTCACATAGCCAAAAGCTCAAGAGTTTATTTGGAATTTCATCCTTAGTCCTGAGTTCTGAGATGAATAAAGAGGTACTAGGTGGAAAATCCCGAGTCTCTCAAGAACCCAAAGTCTCCTACCCACTTTCTGGCTAGGACATCATTTTTTTTTTCTTTAAACCACACAATACGCACCTTCGATCAGATAAGACAGTTAAAGATGAACCACAATTTTTCATTGGCATTAATCTTTCTGTGATGACACTCCAAGGTCCATTCTCCTAATACCCTTTCTAATACAGTTTATTTATTTTTACAGGAGGTAGCTTTTCTGCTCTGGAAAGAGTCGTGGGTGCTAGGGAAAAATCCAATGGCTAGCAAGGGATCTCCACTCCATAGTCCACGCATTAAACTCATTGAGAAGGTCCAGAGTCTTTTTGCAGAGACCAAGGAACACGTTTTCGAGTCAAAAGCTGCTGAAGAGCATGCAAAATTGTTGAAGTTAGTATAAGCTTGGTTACTTTGTGTTTGTGAATATAAAAAGACATAACACCACTAAATCATTCTCTGATCTCGTCTGCAGAATACAACATGATCTAGAGGTAAGTACAAAGCAGGCCATTTTTGTTGATTCAAGTATTAATGATACAATTCGAACATGTATTGTGTTGGGAAATCATCGAGCTGCTCTAAAAGTTAAAACAGAATTCAAGGTATGTGAACTTCTATTTGCTATTTCCCTACGTGGATGGTATTGTAAGATAATTATTTTGTTCATGTGTTCCTATTCATATCTCCCAGCTGTATTTTTCATGTTGTGCCTCAGGTTTCTGAGAAAAGATGGTATTGGCTTAAAGTTTTTGCTTTGGCTACCACAAGAGATTGGGTTGCATTGGAAACGTTCTCGAAGGAGAAAAGACCGCCAATTGGTAAATCCAATTATTAGATTATTCATTTTTCTGCTTTCATAGAGAAAATTACTTTCTCCTATTAGAATGATACATATTTACATGCTTACTTGTTCTGCCTTGAAATGAGATGCAAACCGTTTCTGAGATTTTATCTTAACGAAAATCTTTTTGGAAAGCACTTGCGCACAAAGGTGCTTCCATGAACAAGAGTGAGAAATTACTCATGGGCTCTTCACCAACTCACTCTCATTTCAACCATGCTCGTTAGGTTGTAGCTACTTGGATTCACGATTTCATGTGTAAACTTGTGATTATGCTTGTAACTCTTTCCATTCATGTTGTAGAAAAGAAAAAGAAGAAAAAGAAAAATTACTTGTGACTTTTTTAATATATTTCAGTGCTTCAACCTTAATTAGAATTGTAATATTCAATTAGGCTTTTTATCATTAATCTCTCTTTCGTTCTTTTCTTCTTACAGGTTACAAGCCATTTGTTGAGGCTTGCATTGAAGCAGATGAAAAGGCTGAAGCACTGAAATATATTCCAAAACTTGCAGATCCACGAGAAAGAGCAGAGGTAATAAATATAGCATTCTAACCCATTAGCTTCAATTTTTTGCTTGTATTGCTGGCTGGTAGTCTCATTCAGTGCTTAGTTGATGTTGTAGGAAAATGGGAATTTTAAGATCTTACCAAAGATGAAAATTTTAGCATTCAAATCATGAAATTTCCAAATTGTGGCACTTAAAAACCAGATTTATCTATTAAATCAAGTTTACTAAAGTCAAGGTTTCAACATAATCACCGATTGAGCAGCTATCTAGCAACATGGGCAGATCGGAAAAGTGTGATATTTACGTTCTTTACAGGCTTATGCTCGGATTGGCATGGCCAAGGAAGCAGCCGACGCTGCTTCACAAGCGAAGGATGGAGAATTACTAGGTCGATTAAAACTAACCTTTGCACAAAATTCAGCAGCGTCATCAATTTTCGATACTCTTCGAGATCGGTTGTCCTTCCCAGGAGTGTCATAGTCTTTTCAGTCCTGCGTTTCTTTGCTCTATTATCATATTTGGTTTTCCTCCTAAGCTTCTGCTGGTGTTCTTTGTGTAATATTTAGCTATGATTGGTGCATACCCATATGTTGAAATGTCTCACTGATTTGGACTTTTGTATTCGTTAATTATTTCTGACCCTTGTAACTTTGGCTTTTCCGTCCTCTCTAAACCATGTTCTTTGTCTGTTTGTATAATACCCCAAGCAACTAACAGTTCAGGGAGACGTGTTCCTATGTTACCTAATTGCCATCAAAATATTCTGTTTTGTTGATATACTGAAATGTGATGGAAAATTACCACCAAAAAAAAAAAAAAAAAAAAATCCTGGGATGGTTGAATCTTATGTTTCCAGAGTTTGTAAAGCTATCCCGAATGGTCGAAGATGTTTATTTAATTGGTGGAGTTGAACAAGAAATCTTCGTTTAGATGCAGAATGGGGAAACAGAATGGGGGAGTGGGGAAATATTTCTCTCCATTAACGACCTAAATTTAATAAAAGATGTTTTACATATATGATTATATATGATAAAATCAGGCCTGCAAGAATTATACGGTATTCCAAGCATAGCAGCTGTTGCAGACCAAAGAACTTAATCCACCTTCGTGGTTGCATAGATTGAATCTTCGTATTTACCACTCCACCTGCAATTTCATGCCCAACAAAAGCTTATTACTTCATCAACTCGACATGATATTCTTAATCTTCAAACGGTGAACCTACCTATGCATGTCGTTTATGGGTACTTGGAGTTCCAAATCTTCCCCAAAAGGCTTGAATACTTCATCGACCCTGTCACTGTCGACCTTCTCAAGTGTTGGCGGATCCCACTGTGTACAGTTCAATCATTTTTAGATAAAAAGACAAGCCTTCCTCCTTATAGATACACACGAGAACACGAACACGAGCATGAAAACAAAGATAGAATAGAGAGTGAAACCTTAGGAGCATTGTCTTTGTCAATAGTGAGAGCTCTAATACCCTATGGTCATTAGGAAAATGGTTAGTTCAGAAGTGGCCATTTTTTTATTCTCTTAGCTATCAATAACCAATAATTACCTCATAAACATCTCCAGAGATGAGGGTGCGTAAGATATTCATTGTCACCCTGAATTCTTTCTTCAAACATTCTTGAAGTGTTTGCGTTCGACTTTCACGTATCTGCAAATCAAGACACGAGGTCAAAACTACTTCTGTGAAAAAAAAGGATTAAATAAGAACTTCCCATCTGGTAAAAACCAGTAGTTGAAGCCTTAAGATTATTTTGTACCGATTTTAGAGTTATTTTCAGTCCAGTAGGGGATGATCTCTTTATTCCCTTCAGAACAGGAACTATCCAGTCATTTCCTTCTGCACTTGCCTCAGCTTCCTGAAAAAAAATTGTCCAAAAGTTCATGAGGCCCAGCTGCTAAGAGAGAGAGGGAGAAAGAAAGAGGGAGAAAGACTTACAAAAGAGTTTATAATCTCTGCGACAGTTTCCTTCGAAAAGCATTTATCAATTACAGATTGCCTGGAACATTCCAAACATTTAACTTTAGCTGTCGGATTCATTATGAACTCGTAGAGAGAGAGAGAGAGAGAGAGAGAGAGAGAGAGAGAGAGATTATATGAACAGGAAACTATTTCTCTATTCCATTCATAACCTTTTCAAGACACTACATTCATCCAGCTGAATTTCTGAAGAAAATTCTTCAATTGCAGATCTGACTGAATTCTCATCATACGAGTTTAAGCTAATCAAACGCTTCTCTAGTTCGCCCAATTTCTGCATTACAATGATATAGGATCAAATAAGAACAGATAACAAGGCAGCAAAAATGAAGTATAGTAAACAAAGGGTTCATACTAAATGCATTTCATATCAGTCACTAAAAGGGGGTCATGCTTACTTTGGCTAATATACAATATATTTACATTCTTCAATTTCCTTGTAATCAAAACCCATAAAATTACTATGCTCAAGTATCAAACTATCGGGAAGTATTCCCAAGACAATAACTGCTTTAAAGGCCAGAAAGTTGATTAGTCGTGGTGCTGTGGTGTTCCTGGCTAGTGCTGCAGAATTTAGATGAGTTGATTCAGATGTATCAGCTATACCTGTGGTGAATGAGTTTCTAGATGTCTTCCCTGATAAATTACCTGGGTTGCTACCATAGCAGGAAGTCAACTTTGGCATTGAACTGGAACCAGGTACAACATCTATTTCTAAAGCTCCTAATAGGATGGTCCCGGAAGAATTGGAAGAATTGAAAGAATTGAATTTGCAACTATAAGAGTTGTTGAACCAGGGGTTCATATGACCCATTGACCCATTGTGTCACTGTGGAGAGCTCTAGTATTGTTTGTGGAGAAGAAAAATGGTACAAGAGTTGTTGAACCAGGGGTTCATATGACCTATTGTTTCACTGTGGGGAGCTCCAGTGTTGTTTGTGAAAAAGAAAAATGGTACATTACGTTTCTGTATTGATTATAGAGAGTTGAGTAAGGTGACGATTAAAAATAAGTATTTGTTGCCACAAATTGATGACTTGTTTGATCCGCTTCAAGGGGCAACAGTATTTTCGAAGATTGATCTTCGTCCTGGTTATCATCAGATAAGAGTCAAAGAAGAGGTCATACCGAAGACAGCTTTCCATACTCGTTATGGGCACTATGAGTTTGTCGTGCTGTCTCCTTTGGTCTGACTAATGCCCCTGCTGTGTTTATGAAGCTAATGAATCGAGTATTCCAGGATTTCTTGGATTCTTTTGTGATTGTGTTCATTGTTGATATCTTAGTTTATTCCAAGACTGATGTTGAGCATGCATTTAAGGAAAGTCTGGTTGATACCACGTGAACAAAAACTATATGTCAAATTCTCGAAATGTGAGTTCTAGCTCCAGAAGGTGATATTCCTTGGTCATGTGGTATCAAGGATGGCATAGCTGTTGATCCAGCAAAGGTGAAGGCAGTTATAAGTTATAGGTTGGGCTCGACCAACTACCGTTACTGAGGTCACAAGTTTCCTAGATTTAGGAGGATATTGCATACAATTTATTAAAGACTTAGCAAAAATTGCAAAAATTGCATCATCTTTGACTCAGTTAACTAGAAAAGGAAAGACACTTGAGTGGAGTCAAGCTTGTAAAAAGAGTTTTCAGGAACTCAAGGAAAGACTAGCATCAGCACCGGTGCTTACTGTACCTGACGGTACTCGGAATCTAGTAATTTATAGTGTCTCTAATAATGGGTTGGGTTGCGTACTTATGCAGAACAGGAGAGTTATTGCTGTTAGAATCGCACAACAACACGCACTCGATCTAGATGAACACAAAATATAGGAGAGAATATTGGCTAAAGGTTGTCTCTAAGAATGGGTTGGGTTGCGTACTTATGCTGAACGGGAGAGTTATTGCTGTTAGAATCGTACAACAACACACACTCGATCTAAATGAACACAAAATATAGGAGAGAGAATATTGGCTAAAGGTTGTCTCTAAGAATGGGTTGGGTTGCGTACTTATGCAGAACAGGAGAGTTATTGCTGTTAGAATCGCACAACAACATACTCGATCTAGATGAACAGACAATATAGAAGAGAGAATATTGGCTAAAGGTTTTATATTGATTACTTCAGGTATGACTATGTACAATAGGATACAGAGAATATAGAAAATATATTTTCAAATCTCTAACTAAGGAGATATATATGGTTCAATTTATTATATCTTTACCAAATATAGCCATATACTATATATAACTATCTACCATATATAGATATAGCTATAAGAGAGAATACAAAGAATATAGTTATATAAATACAGCTATCCAGAGAGAATATAGAAAATATATTAAATATATTTTCAAATCTCGAATATATATGGTTCAATTTATTGTATATAGTTTTACCAAATATAATCATCTACTATGTATATAGATACAACTTTTTACTCTACAAAGTCTATTTACTATTTATGACAATTTATACCATTGACTGAGTTATAAATAAGCAGCGGACTCCATAACCTAACAATTCTCGCACTTCAAGATTGATCCAGTCAACCAAGAATTTCATTCTCAAACGACCATCAGCATCTTCACTGCACCATACCAATTGAGACTTTGCAAAACCTCAATATTCCAACATCAACACATTTTGTCAACATGTTTGCTAGATTCTTTGCACTCTCTATCCACTCCAAACACATCACCATCTTCCACTAACCTGCAAGTGAAATGGTATCGCTTATGTGTTTTGTCTTTGTATGATAGACCGAGTTCCTCACCAACTATATGACACTCTGACTATCTTTATAAAGAATCTTTTTGTGCTGCTTCTTGCCCAATTCTTCCAAATAGTCAGTCATCCATATCACCTCCCTTTCAGCTTCAGCCATTGTCACGTACTCATCTTCAGTACAACGCACTTTTGAAGCCTAGACATCCCATCATCCATGGCTTTCTCCTACTTGGTTGTATCCTCCAACGGTAGCATCAAAGGACTCTAGTTCCCTTTCACCAGAGTTAACAATAAATAGTGTAATGAAGGTACATACATATCTGGTACCCTGATAGTACTTGATGATCTTCTCCACACCGGTTCAACTGTCACTTGCTCCAACACTGGTTCCTCTACAACAATCTCAGGAGTTTCTTGAGTATCTGTTACAACATCACTAGGTGATTTTTTCTGGAACTCAATCTCAACTCCACTTGCTTCGTTGTTTTGGAACCTTGCTCCACCTCTAGTTTCTCAGCAATAGTCTCAGGAGTTTCTTGAGTATCTACTAACATAAGGTGAATTTTTCAACAACTCAACCTCAACCTATAACCTATAACCTAGGCTCTGAAACCAACTTGTAACATCTGCTCATCGACAGCTCTATTCACAGGAGTTACCACTGACATCAACAGCTCGAACAACATAGTAACAAAACTCCGTGGACATCGGTGTTGTGAGATCTCACATCGTTTGGAGAGAGGAACAAGTGCCAACGAGGATGCTAGGCCCTGAAGGGGGTGGATTGTGAGATCCCACATCGGTTGGGGAGGAGAACAAAATACCCTTTATAATGGTTTGAAAACCTCTCTCGAGCAACTCGTTTTAAAAACCTTGAGGGAAAGCCCAAAGAGGACAATATCTTCTAGCGATGGGCTTGGGATGAGCTATACAGATGTAATATACTTAAACATTAACACATATATATAAAGAGAGAAGGCTAAACTTACCTCTAAAGAAACAAAATGTGTTGCAAGCCCGGCTGCAACCAGTTCCTTGCCGTTCAACCTGGACCCAGTTAACCCCAAGTATTCTCCTGCAAATGTCCACCACATCGTTATCAATCAGTCAACTTAGGAAAAAGATGTCAAAATTTTCAGTTTAGTTAAAATCAAGAGATATTTCGATGTTGATGAACTTTCAACCAAAGAAAAAGAGCATGAACTCTTAAAGAAAATGTTTAGAATAAATTAAGTGAACCTTTTAAACTATTATGTCCAGAAATGCAACTCAAAAGAGTTCATTTTCAATCTTTTCTTACCCAAATGTCCAGGAAGATGAGAAAGCATATAAGAGAAACCACAATCAGTGTGAAACCCAATACTTGCTTCTGGAGTGGCAAAAACCTGTATCAAAGAATCCTTGAAACTCATCTCTTCGGAATTACTAAGGAAACTGAAATCAAACAACGTCTAAAATAGACAAAAAAAAACCCACAGTTTTCTCTGTGACAACTGAAAATTTCATTGGCACCATGAATGATGCACCTCCCCCCATTGAAATTCCATGAACAAGTGCAACCTGCGATTGAGATGAGCAGAAAGCCAAAGAACTCATCTTAACCAAACTTTTTAAGGGGGAAAATATGTCTTAATAAACATTTTTCTCAACGGTTCTTGTATAATAGGTTTAGAAAAATCATTACGTGGATTTTCTTATAGGTGTGAATGTGATAGCAGAGCCAATACATTCGGTAGACAACTTCAAGGCATGAATCCCCTGTCAAGCACGATGCATAAGAAATCTAAATCTAACGTAGTGATCATTGAAATTTAAGCATCGAAATATTCTCTATAAGTGTGAGGAAACCTCTCCCTAGCATACTCATTTTAAGAGGGAAAGCCCAAAAGGTAAAACTATCTGCTAACGGTGGCATATTTTCATCGTGTTTCGAAAGGAAACGAGCACCTACTTGTATTCCTGCCATCATAGAACATTTTTAAGTCTCCACCAGCAGAAAAGGCTCGACCAGCTCCCTGTTTAAGACACATGAAGATGAATTCATAAAAGAAAACTTGTGATTCTTCTTTGTTTGGATTGTCCTATCATGCCCGTAGTTTGAAGCATGGATGATAGAACTGACCTTAAAAACTACAAGTTTTGCTTGATCGTCATTTTCCCATTTTTCTAAGTATTCAGCCAGAAGAGAAACCTACACGCAAACACAATCAGAGAGAAGCGAAAAATCCTAGAACATCACAATTTTTGAAGATAAATTTACGCACCACTTTGGATGAGATGACATTCAATTGTCTTGGCCGATTCAATGTGATCAACCTAACATGCCCAGATTCTTGTCCTAGAACAACCTGAAGGTTGATTTCGCGCATGCATTTAGTGAATGAAAGAGTGAGAAACTTCCACAAATTACGAGCAAGCAAGTAAATGATTAAAAATAAATAATAAAGTGTCGCATTCCAGAAAGTCACAGATGCAGTCAAGAACAACCTCCTCGTTTGGGTTAACAACTTGCTGCGCCATTCTGAACTCGAAATTCTGGATTGAAGTTGGCGAAATGAGCAATCAAAAATGGCGGCTGGCGATCGGAAGAAACTGAACAAACAAAGGCAAATGGATCGAAAGAAACAAAGTGAAATTGCAGAAAAGTTGCTTAAAGATGGTGGAGACTGGTAGGCCGGCATTTCCGCTCTCACCTACCACCAGGCAGTAAAATCCCACCTACCACGACTCAAATTCTAGTGGTAAGGTCATATTGTGGGGCTGCTCTATTGCAATTTACAGCAGGAGGCTTTAACCATTTGTCGACCACCTAGCCGTCACCCACTTTGTCCATTTGTTTTCATGGTTGAAAATTACAAGTATCAAAATATGTCAAAACAAATAATTAAACCGAAAGAAGTAGGGGAGTGAGAGTAGTAGAGAATCCTTAACCATTTATGCTTTTATTAATTCGAGTCAGGAGAGTGCTTTCGAACCATAACCATTTGTCTCTTTCGAAAAAGAACCTTATAGGAACCTTAACCATCTATATCTCTTACGAACGAACAAAGAAGCCTTAACCATCTATATGATTAAATTGGTATGTAATTCTATGGCTAAGCACCAGTAGCCGGCGAAGAAGAATCTGGGACTTGTGCTGGTGAAGAGGGATCGGTCAACCGAGCATTTCCGGCGACTACGGCGGCCCTATGGTTAAATGGTCCTGCGAGAATGCCTGCCATGTGGGTAAGCTCGCTCTAAAGGATAACCAGCTAGGTTTACATATGAATAAGACCAAAGCTTCCAAACATCAAGACAAGAAAAATTGCTTTATATTAGTCCAACCAAAATTGTGAATCTCATCTCACAGCCTCAAAAACAGAGGAATAATTGTGCTAGAGACAAGAATGGTTTGGCAGAAATTTCATCTAATTCTCTAAGTAAATCTATACCCATATCAATAATTAAATGAAAGATGAACACAATTACGTAAACAAGTTGGGTTTAAATGCTTTGTATGTTGTCTTCAGCTTCCTGGTGGGTGGTCTCACCTTCTTAAACACCAAGGGGAATTTGATCTTTGAGTCATGAAACTGCTTCGTACTTTCCCTCTTGCACAGTTTTGCAGGAACAGTTGCTGTCTTGATGATTTGGATGCATGGGCACCTCACCCTATGGCGAGAAGCCATCTCGTTATACATTTGTTCGACAGCCCCATTCAGTGTCGTATCCCGAAACTCCTTGTACATGTTGTGATAACCAGTTCGACTCTGATACCGCAGCCAAATACCGTAGTTTTTTATCTTGGTTGGGTTCTTTTCAAAAATCTACAAATTGCAAAACGAATATGAGATCATTGATCTAGAGCATGAAGGCAACATTAAGGGAGGAAACTAAGGAATAGAAAAGGGGTGCTCACTTGCAGCCAAGAATCTTAAATGAAACTATAAGAATCAATTTTACTCTCCTCTTTCTTCATATTCAATTATTGTACGAATTATTCACCATTAAAAGTTAATAAAATTATATTAAATTCATTTATTTGAAAATAATTATTAAGATTAGTTGCTAAATTAACTCGAAAACATAAACTAACCACCGTTCATTATCTAAATTAACTAATGTAATAAAACTGCTAGAAGTAATTGTGGGAACCAAACAATATTATGATCTATTTATATGAAATTCTGATAGCTTTCTCATTTAACATCAAACACAGTTATATGATTCCAGACATTCTATTCTCATACATTGGACTTTTTTAACATCTTAAACAAAACATCCAACCAAATAACCCCTTAGGAGTAACTATTCAAATGGAATGGCAAATGCTCCCATTATACTTATATCTCATCCGAATAAAACATAAATATGCATACATATTCTAGAAACTAAGGAAAACTTTAGAAGAAACGCACACACTTTATGAAACATACGACAACGTAGCACACATTCATCAAGACTTGAATGACCCGCTATGTTCTTTTTCCATTCGGAGGAATGATATGCAAAAGTTTGTGTATGGAATAGAGGAGTTCGTAGACCAAAGAAACCTAACACATTTGAGTTGAGCAACAAAAAAGCTGAAAGTAGCTCAATTGACTATTGGCATGGTCGCACAAAAAAGACATAATATGTAGAAGCGTGTTCTAGACCCAATACCTCGTTAATGGCAAGGACTTGACCATTGCTCTTCTTGACTTTCTTCAACTTCCTCAAAAAGTACCTATCCAATGTGAGGATCAAGATATCAGGATAACAACTTCCGTCAATCCAAAGCAAAAAGTGTAACTAAAAAATACCCAGTCTTGAAAAGGAAAATGAAAAGGAATAAATACTTCAATCCATTTGAGAAGAAACAAGTTTGAATTTTGAATTTGCAATGTATATGAAAGCTGAATCCCTTATGAATAACGATTTTGTTTTTAGTTTACTTACTCAAAACATTTTTTCAATGTGTTTTTCTTGTCTTTCTTAAGGACTGGTTTGAATTCTGAACCAATTCTCAAAAAACAGAAACAAGTTTTTGAAAACTAATCATTTTTTGCTTTCAAATTTTGTCTTGGAGTTTGAAAACATAGGTAGAAATAGAACACAGTAAATGACAGATCCTTGAATGAACAAAATACATCCTCCATCTATTGAGTCATACACTTCTATGAATTTGCAACAGGAATGATACTGTACAACTTAAATGCACTGATGAACAGTAATATGAAAATTTAAGAACTGCTAAACTCCATAATTATTCAAAACGATGATAATGCTCGACGGATAAAACAGCATACCAGAACTTGGATTTGGCTCGGACCTCGTTGGTAGCCCAAAGCTTCATCCGATAAATCTTGGGATGCTCATCCGCTTCAGAAGGAAGAGCCCTCCCCACGACCTGGTACTGATGAAACTGCTTTCCGTGAAAGCAAGGGAGAAAACAAATGAAAAACAGATCAAAGTCTTGCAAATTCACTTCCAGATGAACGAAAAGAACCGAATGAACAACTGCAACGCATTCTTTTACAACTGTAACTCATCCTTATCATACATGAAAATGTTTAGAAAAAAAAAAAATGTAAAAGAACAATCGACTCGATTTGAGTGTCCATGAAGCAGATTCTTACCCTGAATGAGACCATTTTGCACTCGATAATCTGATAGAGATCGGCAAACGTGCTTTGAGCTGGTTCTCTCCACAGCGCTACGCTCAGTAAAACCTAAACAGATCTGCTTCGCAATTGGGTCGCACGAGTACTGGACCGGCCCGGCCCATTTGAAATGCGTCTGTGTTTTTTTTTGTCTCCACCAGAATTTTCAAATATGTCGGTTTTTTTTTTTAAATAAAACAAAATTTTAGATTTCTTTTGGATTAATATTTATTTTATTTTTTTAATTATAAAAAGTTTGAATTTTGTGAAATTAGTCTTAATTTGAGTCCAACTCATTTTATATAAATATACGTGTTAAATAATATCATAAAGTCAAATAAAAAACAATAATTAGTTATCGTCTAAATACAAAATTAAGTCACATATTTTATATATGTATCTGTTGACATATTTTGAGATACGAAAACATATAAATAAATTAAAACTTTACATTTTAAGAGATCAAATTGTAATCTAACGATAATTATAGGACTAAAATATAATTTAATCAAAATACAATAAAGTATCAACACGTCCTTTTTGGTTTAATGTTTATTTGATAAAGCGTTTCAAATGTTAATATGAGAAAAATTAGTTTTTGATGGTGATGTGTGATATTGTTTACCGTTTTGTCAACACGAGCATGTCGTATTCGTTGAGGTCCTCAAACTTATGTCTTCAAATATATATATATATATATTTTGCAATTATTCCTTTTTATTATTATTATTGAGACTAACCAATTTTGAAAATTTTGTAACGTTTTTATATAAATTTAGTGTTCATAATTCATACAAAAAAAATTATGGAGATTTTTTTAACAAATTTTGAAAATACTTTTTTTATACGAAAAATATTATTACTATTTATTCATTTTTTATTAAATTATATTCAAATTAAAACTAATTAAGTCTAAAAAGTAGTAGAACGAATGAAATGGAAGGCTTAGGTGGTATTTAACAAAATAATAATAATAATAATAATAATGATGTTAACTTTTTCTTTTTTCATTTGTATGCTCTCTTCTCTCGAGAAAATTAAATTATTAACACTAAAAAAATTAATAATAATACAAGAAAGAACAGTGTTCTTCCACTTCTAAGATTAAGATTATGCTTAGAGATGGAATTAATTAAACGTCAGCGCATCTCATCGGCGCAAACCCCAGTCTCGAGTTCTTCGTATCGTACAGTATGTGAAAATTCTGCTGCTGGTAATTTCCGATGATCGACAGAGCCGATTTTGGAGTCCCTAACATCGCCAAGCAAACCATATCGAATTGCTCGATTCTGATGAAGTAATTCTCCACCGGGAATTTCCATACGGCGCCATCGGCGAACTGGATTTCGAATTCTGGAAATTCAAGTTTATCAGCGCTGGAGACGTTGTAGCAAGGATGTAAGATCGGAAAATCTTCAACCAGTTTATAGTTCTTTACTTTCCTCAGGAATGCTTCTTTGATGATTCGGTAAGCCGGATCGGAGAAATAGCTGAGAGTTGTGCCGGAATCGATGATTGTTCCGCCAGCGCCGTCGGCGGAAATCTTCCAGTTCTCCTCGGGGATTTGGAGCTTCTCTCCTCCGACGAAGATCGATTTGATTTGCAGATAGTAGAATGTGTCGACTGGATTTTCCTTTCCGCCGAATAGCGATGTGAATTTCAGTTCCGGATGAGTTAATAGATCTCTGTCTTCGCCGAAAATCAGCTTGCTGCTCACGCTCGTATCACTGTTTCGATCAACAAGACAGTAGGAGAAAGAATGGCCGTAGAGAGATTGAAGCTGCGATGAAAACGAGAGAGGTCCTCGGCCAAGCCCTAAAAGTCCGGCGGCGCCATGGAAGAGGCCTCTGTTCCAATGGCCGCATCCGAACATCACATTCTCCACTCGCCGAAACTCCGACTTCCCCGTCGTCGAAGAGGTCAGATTGACGGTGAACGTCTCGAGCGCGAAATCGCCGGTGGTGTTCGAACAGTCGCCGTACCAGTAGAAGTAAGGGCACGATTGCGTCTCGGATTTGCACGGCTGCGGAGGATCTGGAGACGAAACTAATTGACATCGAGGATCGTTACAGGTTATGTTTCTGAAAGAAATTGAATCTTTAGGGTCGTAATAAGGCCCGGTTTG